AGTTAATAATGCAGGTGAATAATTATAAAGTCTGTAAAACGATTAGAAAGCTAATTTTTTTCCTCCGTTTATTTTATTTATTTTGATATTTACATGACAAAATGTAAGGCTTTTGAATGTTTGTAAAAAACTCAAAACTGATATCAGGTTTGGAGAATAATTAGATTTTTATCTGAGACCATTTCTCTTTCTGAACTTTAGTTAGAATTTTAAAGGACTATTTTTTACTGAATTAATTCATTATACTTTCACAGCAGAATATTAAAGTATAATGTTTGATGGAAGGGAAGATGTTTGATGAGACGATTTATCAAGTTTTTCATCCCAAAGTAAAATCATTTTGAAATCATTACTTTAGTTTTTCATTTGTACTTTTTGAGGTTCTGGTATTTTGTGGGTTTTTTTAGAGTAAAATCTGGTTTGTGTCGTGCATCAGTGCCGACGGTTCCCTGTGGGAATCACAGAAACATGCAGAACCATCACAGGCTTCAGTTTGTGCTTCAGCATCTTTAAATCCACTTCAGCTTTTCGTTTCTCTGTTCAGCCAATATAACAAACATGCAGGTTTTAGTTTGAGTACATGTGAGTGTTTTGTCTCCGTTTGTGCTTCGTCTAGCTTCTGATCCATGCAACATCTGGTGCTTCATAATGTTTCACATTTATAGCAAATAAATGTGCTTGTTTTCAATAATTCATCAGTGCAGATATTTCCATGTGATCCTCTACATGAACAGGCTGCCGGTTCTGCTGCCGGTTCTGTTGTCTTTGGTTCTGTTTGCCGGTTTTTATGTTAATTCAGTTAAAAGCACCAAAAATCCACACAAAACGTGACGAAGGTCAACGGAACGATTCAGGAAAATTACCAACAGAAACAATCCTTTAGATGTATTCATCGGTTTGTGTCTTAATTTGGTTTGAAGTCATAATTTGCTGCACACTGCCGGCCAGCAGCCTGAAAGGCGTCATCCTGAGGTCCAAACTGGGAGGTTTTTATGGAAACATGAAGCTGAAACAGAAAACGTGACGTGGATCAGCTGCCTGACGGACTGAACTCAGCTAAAATGATCCGGTCCGCTCGCCGGTTTTGGTCCAGATTCTGTTTTTCATCCAATCGGGTTCGATGAGCGGGTTGTTGCCGGGCAGAAAACTGGAGCAGGATGCAGCTGTCGGCCATTTTCACGACGAGTCACTTTTACTCCTGTTCACCTGCAGATCGGAGAGCAAAGCATGATGGGTAAAAACCACGCAGACAGAAATCACAGGCGAGTCGAACCAAGAGGTCACTGTGGGGTCACCGTTAGCTCAGAGGCAAACAGAGCAGCTTCTATGTTCACTGATCTATGGTGTCTGACCGATCCGTTAAAATGAGACAAAAATTGTAAAACAAAAAAAAACTCGTTAAATTATGACAAACTTTTTGCGATAATTAGATGTGAAACGTTGAGATTACGACTTCTAAAAATCAGCCGATTTGCTGTGTTCAGGTTCCTCCATCTTGGTTCTAGAGAGACTTGACCTTTGACCCTTCCCGTGTCAGGCTGCTGTCTCGTTGAGCTAACTCCATCAACTGACCAATCGGAGGAGAGACGTACCGGCTGCCGGGCCGCAGGCGACGCTGTACGACGTCCACAAATTGACGACCATCAGGAACGTCGCAATCAACCCGAAAACCTGCAACCAGACAGCAGGGGGCGCCGTCAGCCGCTGACACGCAGCAGGAGGAAACAGGAAGTCCCTGCTGGACCTGAGTTACTCTGCCGTTGTTTAACCAGAGCGACTCACCGACGCCACACCACCAGGGAGGAAACGGCGCCACATTTCACCGCAGCGATGATGGAGGCGATGAAGATCAGACGGACCCGACAGAGTAGTGGAAGAACTCCTGAACACAGAAACTCTGGTCATTTGTTGATATAAAACCTCTAAATCGTGACCTAAACCTGCAAACATTTTCTGATGAAATAAGATCAGAACCAGACGAGTTGGTTCATCTGAAGTAAATATTGAAACAGGATTTATTTAAGCTCAGAGTTCAGATAATTCAGGCCTGAGCACAGCTGTAATATTTCACCAGACTGGAAATGATTCATCTGGATGTTTATCCATGCTAATCCGAAGCGCTGCAAACATGAAAACTGCTGCAAAAACATGTTTGAAACTCAAAACACCAAATACAAACGCAACAGAAAATGCTGCAGGAAGTGGAAGAAAAGATGCCGCAAAACTGCAGAAATCCTCAGGCCCACCAGGGGGCGTCTGGAGTCGCTAGACAAACCTGTGTCTTAAAAGACATGAAGTGCAGCAGACCTTTCCTTTCCGTCTTCATGGAGGTCCGGCTCCCCTGGTGGCCTGGAAGATTTCTGTCTGCAGAGTTTAAATTAGCTGTTTTGGTCTTTGTTGCATTTTCTTCTGCTTCTGGTTTCTGTAGCCGCACCTTTTCTCTGTTTTTTGGATTTGCATCATTCATGTGTTTGCTCCAGACTTCCCCTAGTGGTCTGGAGGACTTGGATGTTTTTGTGATTTGTAGCATTTTTCTGTCGCTTTCCTCCAGACCTCCAGGGGGAGTCGGGACCAGACGCTCAGTAAAGACGGACGTCCAGAAGGAAGTTGCAGGAAAGGTTCGCTGTTCTTTTTTATGATATTATAGAAAAGCAGCCAATGTTACTGACTCTAGAGTCCCCCTAGTGGACGGGAGGTGGGCCGTTGTTTTGTGGAGCCAGTTTGCAGCGTTTTAATCTTGCAGTTTTGGAGCAACCCTGACGAGGCGTTCCGGTCACAGGAGACATGAATCCATGCAGACGTTTAGAAAGTCACTTTTTAGTATTTAGAGACTAGAATGAATCCTGAAACTGAAACCTGGTCCAGCTGCTGTTTCCTGCTTCAAAGCTAACATCAGAGACGCTTCTCTGCTTTTCAACCGGAACAGCAGCCTGACGCGCCGCACCACTTCCTGTCGCTAACCCCGAGGTCCGATGGGAGCAGAAGGAGCGTCTCACCGCCAGCGGCCAGTTGATGCAGGGCATCTTCACCTGCAGCCTGCACAGGTGCATGAGGAAGAAGATGAGGAAGGCCACCAGGAACCAGAGCACCACCACCTCGAAGAACTGGAAGGCGTACCAGTCGGGCCAACCGGGCCAGCCGGACGCACAGGAAGGCAACGAGCAGCGACAGCTGGAGGCAAAACACGGTCCGTTAACGCCAGAACCAGAACGGGCCGAGCCAGAACCTCAGAGTCACACAGGCGGGACCACAACACAGAAAAACCAGCAAACCACACAAACCAGAACGACCTGCTAACTGGGAATATTAATACAAACTGTGAAAAAAAAAAATATAAGCGATAAAAACCAGGAAACAGAACAAGACAAAACACATGAGAAAAATAGAAATAAATGACATTATAGTCAAAGTAAAAATTTACCAAAAATAATCAGTGTAACATAGTTGCTAGCGTTAGCTTGCATTAATAATTTGAACTTTACAGCAAACTAAAAATCGGACTCTGAAACAGTTCTGTAGTTTGAACTAACAATACATTCACTGTGAAAAGTGAAATTTTCCAAGCTGTGGCAGAAATCAGCCTATTATTTATGTGCAACCGCCATGTCATAGTATCTAGTTTGTTTTATTTTACCACAGCCAATGATGTGGGATTCTTAAGCAAACAGATTCCATTAGAAACTTTGGAGAAACTATCATGAAAATTAACAAAACATCCTCAAAGATAAATGATGAACAACTTGCTGGTTGTCTGCACTGTGGGAGGCGGGGGGCCTCCTGAACCCGGGGCCCTGCTTTTCACAGCTCTGTCCAGGTTTGGCTCAAGAAACAATCAAGTTTCGGCTCCAATAAAACATTTCAAACTATGAATTCATCAGAAACGCAGCGGCCGGTTTCCCCAGCTAACGGACCGGCGGCGATGCGGCGGCGCGGGCGGCGCGGCGCGGCTTGGCGGCGGCGCCGCGGCTCTCACCAGCTGGCCGATCTTCAGCAGTCCCGGGATGGTCCGGCTGTATCCCAGGTTGAGGCCGCCGTTCCCGGACGACCTGCCGCCGGGCGCGTGCTGCTGATGGCGGTGAGGGACATGGCGGCGTCCGGCGGCGGCTCCACGGAGGAAATGACCGCTTTAGTGAAGTTCAACCGCAGAGGAGCGGAGCGTCGATGGGAGCGGACCTTCTTCTCCTCCGCAGGTAAGCTGGCGCAGACACCCAGGACACTTCCGGGAGGACTTTCACAATAAAATCTAACCCGTGTGGTTCTGGAGTCCGGTCTGACAAACCGTCCAGGAAGTTATTGAGAGAAACAATGAAACTGTTACGACCATTTGTAACTAACATAGTGGTAATAGCAGAACGCATTACATTTAACATTTAACGCTGGAAGACGTTTTAAATATCCAAAGGTTTAGTTAGCTCAATAGTTGAGACCAAACCTGAACTCTTCCATCATCCAAACATAAATGGCCGCCACACATATCTTTCTGTTTTAAAGGTGCAGTATGTCACAGCTGCTGCCATCTAGTGGTGGAAGGGAAGCGATTCCAATCTCTGCCTTGTTCCAACAGTTTGTCTGAAACTATTAAACTAATTAGACAAAACTGCATTTTTCAATGTAAAGATTGTTTATCTTTTAGTTATCTTAACATTTTCTGACGTCACAACTGGCTAATTGTTAGCATCAGTTTAAAGCAAACTTATTTCCTTTTCATTAACTTGAACTAGTTCATCTGCATGAAAATGAGCTAAAATAATTTAATTTAATCAGAAGTCATTACAGCAGCCTAGAACTACAATATTATAGAAAATAAACAAATTTAATAAAAATCACAAAAACATGAAGAAGCAGAAAAATCATTTTTCATGAAACGTTTTAAATGTTTCACGTTTTTATTGTTGCTGTGAAGAAAAAAGTCAAGGAGCTTTTATTTTGAAAGGAACATCCTGTGTGAGCAGAGTTCAGGCGGTTCAGTGTGTGAGGTTGACAGGTGGGTGTGGCCTTCATCAGGAAACACTGCAGCATCCTCATCATCATCATATGCAGCCCCAGTCCAAACAGGAACATCCAGCAGAGACACCGGGGAACCGAACCGGACCGGATCGGACCGGACCGGACGGCTCTGCCAGGCGACCGGACCGGACCAGGTTTCTGTGAGCACATTCAGCATTTTCTAAACAAGCCTAGCTTCAGCAGCTCAGAGGTCACCCAGAGGTCACGTGATGAAAACACAAAGAAATCAAATCCAGATCCGGTTTCACTAATCCAGGACTTACAGACATTTTTCTGGAACATTTTCATTTTGCAAAAGTTAACTGAAACAAGCGCCCGAAATTTGTCCAATGAAACGAATGAAAGGGCTGTAGGCGGGGCTTCAACCACCGACCAATCAGAGCAGCTTCTGTTGTAAACTTCTTAACCTTTTCAGGATGTAATAATAAGTCATGGATAACAGCGCTAATGGATAATAGCGCTAATGGATAACAGCGCTAATGGATAACAGCGCTAATGGATAACAGCGCTAATGGATAATAGCGCTAATGGATAATAGCGCTAATGGATAATAGCGCTAATGGATAACAGCGCTAATGGATAATAGCGCTAATGGATAATAGCGCTAATGGATAATAGCGCTAATGGATAACAGCGCTAATGGATAACAGCGCTAATGGATAACAGCGCTAATGGATAATAGCGCTAATGGATAGGAGAGCTAATGGGTAACAGAGCTAACTGGTAGCGTGCGGTTCTGGTGTCGATCGGGTTTCCTGCTCGCTTCGCCTGAAGCTGCTGGTGGTTCAGCAGGTTTCTGGGAGTCGGATTATAGCAGGTTATCGATCCGGACCGGGTCCACACTGCGGATCGATCCAAACCGCTCAGAGGGAAACTCTGATCCGAACCTTCTGCCCAAAACGCTCAAAGTTCTGATGAATAATTCGGAGTTCAGCCAGAAACGGGTCAGCCCGTCAGGGACAGGAACCAACCCTAACCGCTCCCAGGATTACTTGAAGTAAAACCCGATCTGGAGCAGAACCGAATCCTGCCATGTCGCGTTTATCCGAATTCTAAATGCGTCACAAATCGGCGGCCGGAAACGGCGACGAATCTGGATGTGATGATGATGATGATGGAAGCAGCTGCAGTCAGTAGCCACATTAAACAGGGCTGAGCTAATTGGACCACGGATCAAAGCGGAGTCAGAACAAAGCGGACCGGAGTCGGACTGGAGTGGACCGGAGTCGGACCGGACCGGACCGGACCGGAGTCGGGTTGGTGGACCGGAGTCGGACCGGACCGGACCGGACCGGAGTCGGGTTGGAGTGGACCGGAGTCGGACCGGACCGGACCGGACCGGAGTCGGGTTGGAGTGGACCGGAGTCGGACCGGACCGGACCGGAGTCGGGTTGGAGTGGACCGGAGTCGGACCGGACCGGACCGGACCGGAGTCGGTTGGAGTGGACCGGAGTCGGACCGGACCGGACCGGAGTCGGGTTGGAGTGGACCGGAGTCGGACCGGACCGGACCGGACCGGAGTCGGGTTGGAGTGGACCGGAGTCGGACCGGACCGGACCGGACCGGAGTCGGGTCGTATCCCAGACTCCCAGCAGAGGAGTAAAACCTCTGCTGGCTTCACTGAGGGGAACAGCTGGAGGAAGATTTTTTCTTCTTCTTCAACATCATCGTCATCATCACAGCCTCGTTTCCTCTGCGTTTCACTGAACGATCGTTTCTCTCTGACTGTGGTGTGAAACTGCCACCTGGTCAGGCTTCCTGCCAGGTTAGCTAAGGCGGCTAACGCTGTGTCAGCATTTCCAGTAAGTCGGGGCAGCGAGGCTGTGAGGTGAGCAAGGTGTGAAACGCAGCCGGAGCCGCAGGAGGAAGGAAACGCTCAGACGCTCTGCAGCGCAAAATGGAGCTAAGCTGAAGAAAATGACCTGAAAGAAAACCTTCCTGTTCACGCGTGAACAGGAAGGTTTTCTTTCATGGTTTTAATTCAGGTGCAGGTTTCCCACATCTTCATCTGTTCCTATGGAGACGCGATGCTTCACACTTGTAACCACATCCTGGAGACGCAGCGTCGGTGGAAACAGCCGCGTAAAATTCACACCTTCACAGCAACAGGAAGGAGCCGGCGGCCCGAGTTCAGCAGAGACACGTCTGCTCACATGCGACCAGCAAACAGCTGCTGTAGCCGCTTTGGCCACCAGGTGGCAGCGGCTGTCACACGGTGCACCTTCAGTAATAAAATAATAAATGCTTCATTGCTGCGAATCAAACCTTCTGCAGCTTCACCACACAAAGAAAAAGATCAAAACATTTATTTAACAGCAATAAACCCATTAAAGTTACATACAAATAAATTTATGTTGGTTGGAAATCAGAATATTCCGTTTAATACAACGATGAAATTAAAACAAATGATTGAAATAAAGTTTATTGGGTCATAAAATCTGCTGGAAACTAAATGAATCAGAAATCTGCAAACATGTTGCATCATCACTGCAACGGAAATAAACCAGAACTGAACCTGATTTAATTTAATTTAATTTAATTAGGTGTGAGCATGGAGCAACGGCACAAAACATTTGACAGATTATTTTATGTTATGTAACAATCCAGATTGGATGAATCAGTTTCATTATCAGATTATATAATCTGACTTGAATAAAATAGTTATTATTTTCTGCGACCTGTAAAACATAATGCACTGTAAAACATAATGCGCTGTAAAACATAATGCACTGTAAAACGGCGCCCCCCAGTGGCTGCATGTGTCGTTTTATTGTTCTACGTTTAGAGAACTGGAAATAAATCTGTTGAACGTTTGGATCAGAACCGGCTGAGTGTTTCCAACCAGCTGATGATTAAGCAGCAGGAATAGCAGAAGTGTCCAGAAAGGGACGGAAACACGCCTGGGAGGTTCTGAGTCACTGGACCGAACCGAACCAGTCGGGTTCTGGGTTCGCCGCTGCTCTGCTCTCCTCATGGACGCTTCGTGGGTCGGACGCGTTCTGGTTCTGCTGCTGGCGGCCGCAGGTGAGAACATTTCTGTTATTGTCAGGATGAGCAACATCCTGCTGATCTACACTGTAAAAAACTAACAGCAGCACTTTGGTTGGTTCAGTCTGTCATGGAAACACATCTGGAGTTATTTATAAATGTCAGAGTTTAAATATTTCATTTGAAAGCTAAAAGTTTAGTTTGTAACTAAATACTTATTTCTGAGTTAGTTTTAGTGCCAAATGAAACCTTTAGTCTAAACTAAGTATGAATTTTTCTATTTAATTTCCAACCAAATATGCAGTTTGAAATATTTCTTTTTCAAACTGTTTAGTTCCAAATTAATATTCAGTCCATAACTAACAACATTCAGTTATTTACACCAAGATCAGCAAAGTCCAGGATTTTATGAGTTGAATATTTACAGTTTAATGGAGGGTCAAAGGTCAGCCCTGTTGGGGGTCGGAAACGTTTTATCTCACATTCAGTGTGTGAAGGTTTGTCCCCTGCAGCCTGCGGCTCCGGGGACGACGGCTGGTCCATGCACGTCCAGGCAGAGGTCCGGGGGATGGACGGCTACCCGGTGGTGCTGCCCTGCACCTTCAGCCACCCACAGCACTCCCAGCATTCCTTGCTGCGGGTGATGTGGCGGCTGGGCCACGGGTCGGCCGCCGCCGTCCTGTACCGCTGCACCAGCCAGCCCGGCGCCGCCGCCTGCGAACCCGACCCGCAGCAGGACCAGCGGTACCGCCTGGAGGGCAACCCAAGGGAGCACGACCTGTCGCTGCGCATCAACGGCGCCTCCCTGCAGGACAACGGCCGGTACTACTGCAGAGTGGAGGTTCAGGGGAGAGAACACGTCAGCTTTGAGGACAAAATGGGAACCAGGCTGCGAGTGGAAGGTAGGAGACAAAACGTTACGGTCAGGGCCGGCCCAAGGCATCAGCAAACTGAGCAGCCGCTTTGGGGCACTAAGGGGGCATTAAGGTCAGACTGACCCCGTCTGTCCATCCCTGCAGCTCCTCCAAAGATCCTGGCCGTGTCGGTGGAGGGCGGCAGCCCGGCCGGTTCACCGCCGTGTGCCGGGTCCAGGGCTCGCCGCTGCCGGACGTCCAGTGGTTCGGCCCGGACGACCCGCTGGAGGGCTCCTCGCCGGCGCCGCTGGCTCTGGGCTCGCCGGGCCGGTACCGAACCGTCAGCCAGCTGAGGGACGTCCAGCCGGGTCAGCGCTACACCTGCAGCGCCTCCAACCCGTTGGGCCGGGACCAGGCCGCCCTGTTCGTCCTGCGGCCCCGCCCGCCACCGCCGGCAGCCGGGCCGCCGCCGGCGCTGCTGCTGCTGCTGGCGGCGGCTCTGGGCGCCAAGCTGGTCCTGCTGCTGGTGGGCGTCGGGGCGCGGATGATGCAGGGGGGGGCTCTGCAAACCGGCTGCTGGAGGAAGTGACCTCACGCTTGCTGATCGTCGTTATGTTGTCATTACTGATCTGATCTGATTTAAAGGGCCGGCAGCATCTAAAGTCATCTTCATTCTCCGTTTCCTTCACGGTTTTCCCTGAACGCTCACTTTGATTCTTTCATAAATCCTTTAATCTCCATGCAACCTCCCAGCTGCTGGACCTGGCCCCGCCTCCAAGGCACAGCTCCTTCAGACTAGCCAGCAGCAATTAGCCAACTGCTGCTGAGCTCGTTATAGCAGCAACTGCTGGTGAAAACATCGTTAAAGGGTTAACAGAGAGCCATGTTGGCTTCCTGGAGGCGGAAAAAACAGGAGTTTTTTAAAGAGACAGTCGCCCAATTTCAAGGTGATAAATCAGGAAGTCAAATTTTCGTGAAGCATTTTCATCGTTAATTATGTATAAAATGGACCTGTGTGTCTGGGAAACACAACGTTTCCATCCACGACCCCAAACAGCTTTGACCTTTGACCCCATTTGCTAACCCCGGACTTTGCTATTGTTTTATTCAGTAATTGTTACATTAATTTAGCATTGATGCTAATCTCAAAGCTTCTGGTTAGCCATGAGTTCTGTGGCAGAAAATGTAATCAGATAAGTTATTTATGACTTTATTACCAGATTATACATTATTTCATTCCAATCCTCTCCTTTTATTACAAGAAATGTGTAATAATTAATATTAAATTTGTTTTATTTCCGGAGTTCCTCTGGTTTTGTTTTTGTCCGAAGCTTTTCCATTTCTTGCTATCTGTTAGCTCCTGGAATAAAGCAAACAACATTTAAATCATTTCAATTATCTTAGCTTAGATTTGTTCAGAATAAATAGAAATGATTGAATAACAGAAAAATTATGATGAAAAATGTAACATTAAATGATTTATAAGATTCATTGTTTTTTTTTAATTCAGTTTTGCTTTTTTTCTCTTCTCTGTAATTTTCTGAGACCGCCACAGCGCCCCCTGGCGGCCTCCCGGGGTCCACACTCCACACTTTGAGCATCAAATCTACTGAAATCTGCAGCTTCCTGTTACAAAGCCAGGAAACAAAACAATCTCTTGTTCAAAATGTACATTTTTTCATTTTTTTTAATCAGATTTTGTTGAAAGAAAGGAAATAAAAACTTTCGTTTCACACATGAAAACCCATTTATTGGCATAAAGGATTATAATTTTAAGTATACATGATACATTCACAGCAAATCACACAAAATAAATTAATTTTGCCAAATTCAGTCTTGAACTGTAAAAGATAAAACCCTAAAATCAATAAATAAAATGATTAAATCAGAAGTTAATGTTCTGAAACAGTAAAAATTGATTGATAATTATTACGTCTAAAAGCTGCATGTACACTAGAATATATCATTTAT